GTCAGCACTTCAAGGTCTACTCAGATCATCAGACCTTGCAGTGGATTAAGACACAAACTGATCTCTCTCCTACGCCGACCCGCTGGTTGCATGACATTGATGTGTACAATTTTGAATTGAAACATAAGAAAGGTTGTTATAATCGCGTTGTTGATGCTTTGTCGCGTTTCCCTGAGTTTTTGACATGCCTTGTGGGTTCGTATGACCTCCGAAAGAAACTGAAGGAGGATCTGGTCGAACACACCGCCAAGGATCCGGAGCTTAGTCCCATCCTTGAGTAGCTCAAGGCTGACCCTAACAGTCAGCTTGATTTTCATGGGTGTGAGGGTCTTGTATTCTGCCGGTATGGGAGGTTTGATCGTCTGTGTGTACCCAACCATGCGCCTCTTCGGACTCATTTCTTGGATTTGGCACATGGTCGGCGTGGACACTTCGGCTTTGAGAAGACTTATGGAAGCCTTCTGCAGCAGTTTGATTGGCCAGGAATGAAAGGATCCGCTCAGAAATTTATCGTTGAATGTCAGGTATGCCAAAGAACCAAGGTCCACAGGCATAAGCCTTATGGTCTGCTGAGACCCCTCCCCAATCCAGATGGACCCGGTGAGACGATTTCCATTGACTTCACGGACATGGGAAAGGTGAGTGAGGCTGAAAATTCACAAGTCATGGTCATCGCGGACCGTTTTTCCAAATTTCTGAACTTGATTCCTTTCCCTTCTCATGCCTCGACTGAACTTGCCATTGAAGAATTCCATCAGCAATACATTCTGCAGTTTGGCGTCCCGAAAACTATTGTGAGTGATCGGGACACCAGATTCATTAGCATAGATTGGAAGGACTTCATCTCTCAGAGCTATGACATTAAACCGAACAAGACTTCTGGTCGACACCCCGAAGCAAATGGACTGGCAGAGGAGATCAACCAGACTGCCATCCAACTACTTCGCTCGTTGATTGTTCCAGATCAGAACACGTGGGACAAGGAGTTGCACAAAGTGAAGGGACTGTACAACAACTTCATTCACTCTGCAACTGGTGTGACACCAAACCAGTTGCAATATGGATGGCCGATGCGTAATCCCCTCTCCTATCTGTTCCCCGAACGGTCACCTGGTCTGATGCCCGGCATCATGATGCCTGGCTACAATGCCAAGTACGCACGCTTGCTCAAAGTTGTTATTGCAGCCATGAACAAGCGTCAGCACGCCATGATCAAACATGCTAACAAGTTGCGCAAAGAAGAAAAATTCAAAGTAAGGGATTATGTTTGGGTTAAAATGTCTGAATTTTCTGATGAAGAGGGCATATCACGAAAACTCCTTCCATTGTACAATGGCCCTTGGCAGATTCTGAAGGTGATTGGGGATGATTTTGGTCCTTCAGATCGACGCGCCTCCTCATCTGCGCACGTATCCGGTCTTTCATGCGTCCAAACTGTTTCCACACATTGATGATGAGACATTTCCCTTCCTAGACCCTATGATACCTCGCCCCATCGACGGCGGCCATGAGATAGACAGAATCATTTCTCACGAGGGAAGAGGGAGGAACAGACAGTACAAGGTTCACTTCCTCTATCACCCGTTGAATGAATTCTTCTGGATCGACCGAAAAGAGCTGCTAAAGAGTGTTCCCCGTGTTGTCAACGCTTATGAACATCAGATCGCTAAGGGATAGACTGCTAAATTTATTGCAAAAATGACTCCTCACGGACTTACTAAGTCTCTCTTTCTAATCTACTCCTAAGATGCATTTTGTTCCAACTCTGAATGAGTTACTCGCTCGAAGGGACCTCGCTCTTGAGAGGGGGGTAATGTAACGACCCGCCAAAAACACAAACTGAGAACACTGCTGATTTCTGGGATTTGCCGCTGGAATGAATGCCTTGTTGAAATTCCCGCATTCTGCTGTGATTTTCATGTCTGTGTGTGTGTGCGTGCCTGCTGGTTTGCATGCCTGTCTGAGTGCTTGACGGTTGAGTGTGTGTGTGACCCGCAAGGGTACTTGTTGGTTGCAAGGCCCCGCAGGGCCGGTACTTACCTGTGGCCGTGACTGTGAAGGGTTGCAGGGGGAAAACACTCGAGTAGCGGGGGTAGGCCCGCGGCACTTAGAGCAGAGGGGAAAAACACTCAAGTAGCAGGTAGGCCGGTACCACTGAAGTAGTGGTAGAAGTGTCGGGTACTGGAGGCCGAG